ATGGATGGATGGATGGATGGATGGATGGATGGATGGATGGATGGAAGGACAGGTGGGGCAGCTCTGGGGAAGGGGAACACCTACGTCAAACGTACCAATGCCCCTTCTTTTCCTCGTGCCCTGGGTAACTCCAGAGCTCCTGGGGGCAGGCAGGGAAGGCTCCAGCTGACAAAAAAAAACCCCTGAGGGTCTTAAAAACCAAGTTGTTGGACCTTAATGACATTTTTCAGCACATTCCCACTGCCTTTAAAACTAGTTTGCACTATTCAAATCTGTCAGCAGTGGGGCTGTGCTGATGTACTAGAAAAGCTTGTCCTAGGCAAAACTCATCTGCTAAATATCTTTCTTCCATTTTTATTTTATTTTTATTTTATTTTATGTTATTTTATTTGGTTGTTTGGAAGATTGTCACCATGATGGTTGAATAAGGCTAAAAAAGGAGAGAGAAAAGCTTTCTGCTCTCAGCCTGCAGTTCTGTGAACTGGGCAGAATGCTGCTGTCTGCCCAGAAATATATATATATATTATATATATATATATATAATTTTTTATATATATATATAAAGAAAAGCTAAGGTTTTAACAAGGTTAAGAAGCTATTGGGAAGGTGGAGATGGCAGCTAAAAGTGGAGAAAAAAAAGCAGGAAAAAAAAAAAGCCTCCCTTCCTGGCAGGCCCTGCAGCACAGACCTGGAGGCTCTCGCTGGCACATCCCTGTCCCCAGACACCTCCCGAGGGACAAGGTGAGCTGTGCCACCTCCCCCCACCTGCCACCTCCAAACTGGGACTGAGATCTTTCAGTTCAACCCAAGCATTTTGGCTCCCCGCCCCCCCAAACCGCTCTGGCACAATTGTGTCCTTGCACTTTTTAAACTCCTTTCGATTTTTTTTTTTTCTCTTGTTTCCCCCTCCTCCCCCTCAGCTGTGTCGTTCCCCCTCCTTGGCAACCCCCAGAGGTGCCACCCCAAAATCCCTGGCACGGGGACCCCCTGCTCAGTGCAGGAGCTGTTTTTTAAAGCTCCCCTGGCTCAGGTGAGCTGTAAAAACCTCAGGTCTCACCTGGCTGCCCCCCTCCCAAGTGAGGAATCTCGGGCTTGAAAGCAACTGCTACAGAGAGCAAATATATTCAGCAAATTAGGGCTAAAATGCTGAATTTCGGGGCTGCCCCCTCAGCCCTGAAGTGCCTGTTTTTGTGTGGTGGCTGCACACACACACACAGCTGGACCTGCCATCCCTCAGACCCTTGGGATTTGGGAGCAGACGTTCCTCAGCACTGGTTTGGGTGAGCAGGAGTGTCAGCCTGGGCTCTGCCAGCTCTGTGTGTCCAAGGAGGGGGGATTTTTATTTTATTTCTCACTTTTTGTTACTCCGAGATCCCAAATTCCCGTTGCCACGTTGTTGCCCACGTGGTGCCCGTCACCTCCAGCCCAAGAGAAAACCCCAAGGCCCTGAGGTCGTGCCCAGACTTGGTCAGATTCCTCCAAAATTCAGCCACATTCCGCCCCCTGGAATCAGAAACGTGCCAGGACCAGGGAGAGAGGGATGGGAAGGAGGGAAGGCTGTTGGGATCAATCCCTTGTGCAGCGAGTTGTGGGACAATGCACTGATCTCCCAAAACACCCAGAATCCGTGCTGGAATCCCCCCAAATTTGGGATTTATCCCGCTGGGCAACAGCAGGAGACACACAGGGGGTCAGTGAGAGGCACTTATTGAGTGAGGAGGCTGAGAGGGGCTGGCTGGGGCTCTGCACCGCTCCTGGGAGGATATTTGGGAACCCAGGCATTGGAAGAGGTTGGAAATCAAGGAATTGGGTGGGTTTTTTTAGGCAGGCTCACTGTTAAATCAGGGAGGGCTGAGCTGTGCAGCATCCCTGGCCCCCTGCTCAGTGGTGGCAGCAATTGGAATAGGATCCCCCCCAACTGGAATATGTTCCTGGGACAGGGTGGGATGAGGCCGGAGAAGG